TCTCTCTCTCTCTCTCTCTCTCTCTCTCTCTCTCTCTCTCTCCCCCTCCCTCTTATTCTCTCTTTCTTCCGCAGTATCCACGAATCGAAATCGAGATCGTTTCGCGGTTTATTTTCTTGGATATTACAGCGTTGTTGGGAAAGAGGAAATAACGTTTGGTTTACGCTATCGACACCGTCGTAATATATAATGGAATTTAGAGCGGTCGGGATACCAGCGCCGAGTAAATTTAAAGGAGACGAGGCGAGGCGACGTAGCCCCGAAGAACTACCGTCATGCGATTCAATACGTGTTCGAATCAGTTATCGCAGGAAAACGGGCAAGTGTCACGAGACTCGCGACGTTACGTCAATTTGGGCCGTTTTAGCCGGTAATTAAATGAACGTGCGAGAAAGAGAGAGGGAGAAAGAGAATGTAAAATCGACGAGTGATATTAATTAATGATCGTGATCGCGATATTAATAAACGATCGTGATCGGATTGCTTTTTTGTCGCCTTTTGACATATAAATGTTAATTAAATTTTATACGGGTAAAAAGTCATGCACGACGCTCACACACACAAATATGCTACAATTAAAAATATTGCGAAAGTGAAACAAGAAGAACGAAAAGTAGAGCGAGAGAGATTAATAGATATTTGCGTTTATTATGAGGGGAAGAGAGAGAGAGAGAGAGAGAGAGAGAGAGAGAGAGAGAGGAAGGAAGATAGAAAAATGGTAAAGCTGTAAAGAGCGTGGCTACACGCGTATATAATCTCGCAGTTAAATAGAATATTAAATCGTTAAACGGCTGCACTTTCGCGGTGATGCTACATTATGGCTGACATCGAAAATTAATATCAATTACCTGTTTCGCGATCGGATTACAATAGAAATTGTGTAGCAATTACGAGCGTAATAAAGCTGCAAAGTTCTTGCAATAAAAGTGACATGCACTGAACGCGATACGCGAGTTTAATAATGAATACTTTCAATGGCACAATTCGCAGGTACCCACATGCTTTCAGGGATGCACGAGCACGGATTTAACCCATTTCATATTCTTCCGACCGCGTTCATCGTGAATAACGTAAATTGTTAGGATTCTATTGACCCCGTCTCGACACGCTCTCTGAAAATATCGGTGACGATGCTTCCCCTGAAATTGCTGAACCGTCGTCCCGGCCACTAACGTACACGTAGCCGTGTATTATTAAATGCGCTAGAATTGAATTGATGAACAATTTGGCGTATAACGTGTAACACAGGAATAAGAGCCGTTTTATGCATTCGTGGCGTTTCGAAGGCGGAAAGCCAATCGATTATTTACCAGTGTGTGAGATCGTGCGAAATATTTTACATCGCGACGAGAATATCAGGAGATCAGACGGAAAGGAGATTTCTCTTTCATGATCGGGAAAAGAGCCGGGAAGAGAGAGAGAGGAAGAGGAAGAGGAGAAAGAGAGAAAGAGAGACTGCAAGACAGAGAGAAAGGGAGAAATGGAACGAGGGTGAGATAAAGCGAATTGCAGAGCATCGGACGGGACCACCGTCTTTCTCGGTGCCGTTATCTGTACACGGGCGGAAGGTTTCTCGGCTGACGATATGCCAATGATGGCCCACATATCGCGGCTGCATCTGGGAAAACATGCGCGCGCGCGTACACACAAACGCACACGTACAGGCGTACACACGTGCAAAAATGACAGCGATATCGTACGTACGACTTTTCCGACACGTCCTGGCGTTTTGTCACGATGGGGGCCCACCTGGCGTGTAACCGGCCGGAATCGTTTTATCAACGCGCGAGTTATGCAAAAAGGTCTACTCTGCCCTTCGTCTTCCCGGCGATATATATTTGTCCCAATTTATCTGCGTTTATCTCCGCCTCTCTTTGTCTCCATTCGTCTCGCACCTCCGTGAGACTAAGGCCAGGAAGAGAGGAACAAATACGGGGATACGTGTTATCGCGCAACCGATCGCGGACATTTCCACCGGGCCGCTAACGGTGAAATTGATATTGCGCAATAATAAGAAGGAAGATCGGCAGTGTCGATGCGACGTGTCCGTGTCGCGTCTTTATCTCCGTCTATCTCTCAAAAGGAAATGCGTGGGATAAATGTGTCTTGAGGGTGAAAGAAACGACTCTCTTATGACTGGCAGTAACAGCGAAGAGGAATATTTTTTCGCGAGACGTTCGCGATCCGGAGATCGCTGTTTCTATTCTCACTTTGAACTCGCGCAACTTTGCAATCTTGAACTGTAATTAAATTTAATTCGGACGATAATTTAGTTTGATAATTCAACTTGAATAAAAATACAAACTTCTCGGTCGATAAAATATGATACAAGCGTCTTCGATCGTTGCTAATGATATGCAAATTTCAAGACCAATAACCGGGTTTCCTAACTTCAACTTTAATTCGCGTAACTTTATAACGTCGAATTTTAATTTAATAATTTAGTACATGAGAAGAATACAAGTTTTGCATCCAATAAAATACGAACGAAATCGCTCGTTTTACCCGATCATATATGAATTTTAAGACGAGCAATCACCTTTCTCAATTTCATTTTTAATTCGCATAACTTTGTCATCTCGATATATAATTAGTTTAATTTGGACAATAATTATTTTAATAATAATTTAGTACGTGAATATATAATCTCCCCTCCCAATAAAAGACAAGCGACTTTGGTCGTTTTACTTGACGACATGCAGATCTCAAGGCGAAGAAGCACGTTTCCTAATTCCAACTTTAATTCGCGTAATTTTTCGCAATCTTGATATTCAATTAATTCAATTTGAACGATAATATTTTTAATAATAATTTAGTACGTGAATATATAATCTCCCCTCCCAATAAAAGACAAGCGACTTTGGTCGTTTTACTTGACGACATGCAGATCTTAAGGCGAAGAAGCACGTTTCCTAATTCCAACTTTAATTCGCGTAATTTTTCGCAATCTTGATATTCAATTAATTCAATTTGAACGATAATATTTTTAATAATAATTTAGTACATGAAAGGAATATATAATCTCTCCTCCCAATAAAAGACAAGCCACTTTGGTCGTTCTACCTGACGATACGTAGACCTCAAGGCGAAGAAGCACGTTCCCTAATTCCAACTTTAATTCGCGTAACTTTGTAATCTGGAATTTTAATTAATTCAATTTGAACGGTGATCTTTAATCGAATAATTTAGAACGAAAAGAATGCAAATCTTTTTTTTCCGGCGCAATGAAATGCGAGCGACTTCGGTCGTTCTGCCAGATGAGATGGCGATGGCGGAGAGTATTATTAGAGATACCGTCGTATTACAAGGTCCGAAGCGCCCGGCGGAAGAAGAGCGCGCGCCGGGGTCCCGCGTGCGGTTACACATACAAATCGATAATTCTGCTTGCAGTCGCGCCGGTGTGTAAGGACGACCGGATCGTGGTAGTAGGTGCATCGAGGGGCGAATCGCTCGACATCGCCTGTAGGGTCGAGGCCGATCCGCCGGCACACAATTTCCGCTGGAAATTCAACAACAGCGGCGAGACTCTGGAGGTAGCACCTGGTAGGTTCTCCATAGAGAAGTCGAGCGGCGTCAGCGTGCTGAGATACACGCCGACCACCGAGCTGGATTACGGTACCCTCTCGTGCTGGGCGGACAATCTCGTCGGTACTCAGTCGAGACCGTGTCTCTTCCAGCTGGTAGCAGCCGGTGAGTATACGCGATAAACTACGCCACGCTCTTCCCCAGGGAGATTTAATATACCTCGCTGAAGATCGCGCGGTATTTTTAATTGCGCCGAGGAATTCGTCAAACGCGGCGTCGTATCGGCGCAAGAGAGACCGTGCTTTCTCGACGATGTACAATTCATGCCTGACGAGATAATTCATGTCGACGAGACGAAAGAAGACACCGTGAAATATCAACGACCTAAGTACGATCGAGCACGTCTGCGGGAACGAAATTAAATGCGACATATAATGTATCGGGCGAAAATAAAATCTCTCGCAGAGCGCGATAGCTCAAATCGTACATCGGTGGCGTCCCACCGGTCGTGATATTGTTAATTTTTCATCGTGAGCTTAAAGACGCTCGCGTCGCATCGAAAAACGACGACGGTCGAAATTCAAAGCCACCGTTCGGTTTTTATGAGACTTCCGGAGGGGGAAGGAAGAGCGCGATTCCCGCGAATCATCGCCGCGAATACAATGGGCGGTGGGCAATCATCGAGCGTTAAATCGGCATTAATCCCCAGGCGAATTTTTTCGCATTTCCCCGTTCTCCCTTTTTTCTGTCCGTGCGTGATCGACAGTGACGTTGACATGGCGATCGGCCGAGGACGTATTGACGTTGACGAATACGTCGAGTGCGAGCGGCACCGTGTATGGCCCCCGCCCTCCTCATTCCCACATCCGAAAATAAAATCGCTCATCGTCCTCCTCGCTCGCTCGCTTTCGCGCTTCATCCGCTCCTTTGCCTCTCGCGGTGTGCTCCGCCATTGCCAACGATCCGTAAACCCGACGGCATGAAATTATTTTTGTACCTCCTCCGGCCCGCCGTCGTTATTGATGTCGGTTACCATTCCGCGAGGCATTTCGGTAAGGAATGTGCCAGCCGAAGCGTGCTCGCGAACGATAAAAAGGACGGGATTTCCGGGGCAGAATTTCGCGACGGAGGAATCGAAGACCGCGTTAGACGTCACTTGTTACGCACGTCGAACATAATTGGAATTCCGCGACGTATTGAGAAATTTGCGACGCTCGGCTGCACAGATGAAGCAAAGTGGTATCTCATCTTAGGAGAGGATCAAATCAAAAGGATGCATGTCCCTTTCATTCGAGGGTACGAGCGAACTCTGGTTTTTGAAGTACACAGTTTCTTCTGCCTCGGGAACAGATTTGTGTGCAATTCAGTCTTTCATCAGGCGAGCGTGCATATTTTTGCATTTTTTTATCTCGCATACTTTCCGTCGCAGTATACACGTAGCTCGAGTTCTGACCCTTAAGGGACGCACTCGTGTGGAGAAATAGTACGTAAGCGAGACACACCACTTGGCGCGACATCCAATTTGACAAACTTAGCCGCCTTCTTTGCTCACAAAACTAATTTGAATCCGGCCCAATCTCGGCGGAGCCCTTTACATTGCGAGAGAGTCACGGGTTACAAATGTTTGCCCGCGGAGAATGGGGTCCGGCGCAAAGGGACATAAGAAGCGGGAGGACAGGGACGAGGCGGGGAGAACAAACGCGTAAAGTACAAACGAAGCGTCCTCGAGATTCAATATACGTCCTGCAAATCCGCGGGTCATAACGAGGAGGAAGACGACGACAACGACGACGACGATGACAAGCTTTGTGATTAATGTAGAAGAGATGAAACATGGAGAGTCCCACGGCCGGACGCGCAAAAAGAACGCGAGAAATATCGAAAAGCGAGGGAATTAGATGGGTAGAGTGGCGCGCGTGAAATCAGACGAGAGACAAAATGCACCACCAGTCAGCCAGGCATTCGCCATGCGGACAATCCGGCCAAACGCTGAAAACGAGCGAGATATTTGTCTTCTTCTCGTCGCGGCGGTGCTGATTCGGACAGAAACGGAATCGCGCAAGAATTGATTTCGACTCCGAAAAAAAAGAAAACATAACGCGCTCGTACTCGACGGGGACAGAAGGGTGGCGAGGGCGAGCAACACACCGATAGGAAGGAATTTGCAGGGATACGCGAGCCGTATCACGTTCCCGGTACTTGGCTCGGGCAGCCGGGGGTGGGAAGAAAAAGCGAACGGGACATCTCTGCGCCCATTACTATCCCGGTACACTAAATCTTTGCCACTCGTAGACACGCAAGCATTTTTCACTGGCGCGCCGAGCTTGATTTCCGAGAGCGCGAGGCTCAGCTCCCGCTCGCTTGTTCGCTCGCTCTCTCGCTCCCTCTATCGGGTGGAGCCAACCTGTAGAGCCGCTCTTGGGCTCGTGTAGACGCGTGCAAAGTGTCCAGAAAATGTCACAGGACAAAAGTGGGCAGTGGCGTCCGTACGTGTCGCTTGGCGAAGATTTAATGCGCTGCGAGGACGGCGTCGCCATTGAAGCGAGAAAGAAAGAAAGTGCATGTGTGTGCGCATGTCAACCCTAGCGTGTAGCATTTTTGTCGAAACCCCATTTTTAAGCGGGACAGAGCGGTCTATAAGTCGCGTAATATACGGGCCGTCAACCACCCCCTCTTTCGCGTTCCGCTTCGCGTCGCATCGCCGACCCGTTTCCGTCTCTGACCGACCCGGCACTCTGCTTCAGGCAAGCCATTCCCGGTGCGCAACTGCACTCTGGCGAACCAGACGTACACCAGCGTGGAGGTCAAATGCGTGCCGGGATACGACGGCGGGCTGCCGCAGAAATTCGTTCTGGAGGTTTATCACGGCGACATCGACTTCCTCCCCAGCAGCCAGCCTCTCTACAATGTCTCCAACCCGGACGAGCCGAGCTTCGCCCTCGCCGGGCTCGAGGCGTCAGTCGAGGCCGGCGTCCACGTAGCGGTCTACGCCGTCAACGCCAAGGGTCGCAGCCAGCCGGTCATCCTCAGCGAGGTCACTTATCGCGACGCTGAGAAGCATACCGGTGAGTTCTCGCTCTCAAGTCGTTAGACTATCGCACCGCATCATCCCCCTCCGTTTCTCTTTATTCGCGAGGGAGAGCTCTCTCACCTCCCCTAGTGAGTAGCAAACTTTTACAACTGTGGTCGATAATACGTCGGCGGATAACGCGAAACGTGACGTTCGCCTATCGGCTGTTATTGACACGTGGCGGATTGGCGCCTCGAGCGATGCCGTAATTACCATGCTGGAAGCGTGCAAGTTGCATCCGCAGCCGCGCGAATGCAATTCCCGAATTTGTACGTTCGCGCAAGAATACTTCTAACGAAGTCGGCCCCATTTGCTTGCGCCCTGCCGATGGACGCGCTCGCGCGCGCCGACAGACCGGATTAACCCAACAGAATGAAGAACGACGTATCGTCCATCACTTAGTACGGGCGGCGTGGGCTTGAATAAGAAGCGCCGTTGAGGAGAGGAGTCAACTGAGCCCGCCCGACCCCGCTCAATTTAACAGAGGGGATGGGATTCGCGATCACCGGGAGATTAGCGGCAGGTGCCGGTCGAGAGTACACGGATCGACGCAAGGTCACCCGGCCGATGGCTCATGTGGGTCTTTCGGAGTCGGGAGGGGGG